AAACAGACGAGACCAGAGCATGGGGCTGCAAGACAAGTGTGCAAGGGAGAGAGGGCACATGTGCTGCAAAGCCCTTTTAGGCAGCCGTAGGCACGTAGGCATCCAGCAGCGGGTCACCGACGATGCCCGCAATGGCCGCCGACGAGAGCGTGACGAGGATGCCGGTGAGCAGCGCACTGGGCAGCAGGCGCACAATCTCGCCGGCACGCTTGGGCGCCAGCGCAGCCAGAATGCCGAGGTTGATGCCGAGCGAGCCGATGTTGCCAAAGCCGCAGAGTGCGTACTTGGCGATGAGGTAGGCACGAGGCGAGAGACGCGTGGCGGCATCGGGCATGATGACCGTCTGCAGCTCGTTGTACGCCACGAACTCCTGAGGGTGGGCAACGCAAGGTGAGTGAGATGCGGAAGCATGGGGGAAGCGGCAAAGACGCACATTGGCAACGACCTTGAGGCCAATCAGCTCGGCGACGCGCAGGCAGTCGCGCGCCGGGACACCGAGCATGAAGGCGAGCGGCCAGAGGACGTACGAGAGGACTGCGAGTAGCGCATGTGTCAGTGCCTTCGCAGAACATGTCGCGAGATCGAGCAGAACTCACTGAGCTGCAGCGTCAGCGGGCCGTTGTCCTCGGTGATGTACCAGTTGCGGCCGATGTACGTCAGGAGGCCGTTGATGGTGTAGAGCAGCGACACAATCACGAGCACGTTGCAGAAGATCAGGCCCGCGACGCGCAGGCCGAACCATGCGCCGTTGGAGAGGGCGTGGAAGACGTCGGAGGCCTTGCCGTCCTCGTCCTGAGCGGCAATCTGCACGCGGCCAGACGTGTAGGAGTGCTGCGTCTCCGGGTAGCGGATCTTGGATGCCGCGATGGAGGCGGGGATGGACATGACGGAGGAGGTGACCAGATCTGTCGCCAGGGGCAAAGCGGCGTCAATATGGGAGCTGGGCGGAGGGGAGCGGCGAGGCGAACGCACCACGGCCGGAAACGCCAAGGCCGATGTACGCGATCAGCACACTGCCGGCGATGGCGGCAAAGCCAGACACGAGCACCTGGTGCAGCTCGCTGCGCGTGAAGGACTTGACGAAAGGGCGCACAAGCACGCAGTTCTCGCCCTGGGCACAAAGATCGGCGGTCAGCGGCGCTGCTTCAGCGACACTCGTCAAGCGCGACGAAGGTCGATCTCGGCTGTACGCACCTGGCCAATGAAAGGCGAGGCCACAGCGACGACTGCCTCGCCGCCGGAGATGCCAAAGACGGCGTGGGCGAACCAGGCGGCCTTCTTGATGCACCAGCCCAGCGCGCCGCAGTAGAAGAGCGCAATGGTGAGCGCCACAAAGAAGATGATGCTGCTGAGCACGTTGATGAAGAAGTAGCCTTGGTCGACGAGATCACGCCCTGAGCAAGCGCACACGAGTCAGTGATGCAGCGTTACCTAGGGCGGACGGTGCGGGCTTGGCTGCACAGCGCCCCCCCCCCCCCCCCCCCCAATGCCGTACAGCTCTACTCCGTGGCACTTGGCCAAGCCGTACTCACAGAAGAAGGCCGCGCCGCCGATCTGGCCCTGCTTGAGCAGGTCCGCCGCCGCAATGGCGATCCACTCGAAGAGCGAGTAGCCGGCGCCGGTGCGGAAGACAAAGAGGGCAATGATGAACTGGAAGCCGATGCCGAGGACAACGGTGCGGACCTGCACGGCCTTGTGGTTGCTCGAAAACATGAAGAGCATGCCGTAGATGAGCACGACGCCGGCCAGCGAGATGGTGCGCTCGCCGAGCGACGACTCGGCCACGACGGGCAGGCCGTACGTCGTGCCAAAGACGAGCGCTGCAAGGGAGAGCCAGCCCACAGCGAGCTTGCCGACGTGAGGCAGCAGCGACCACGGCTTGGCGATGCATGTCATCCAGAAGGCAGAGAGAATGCGCACAAAGGGGCGCTGAGGAATGTACTTGCTGTCGTGCATCAGGATCAAGCTGGAAAGCGAGGGGGAACGGGAGCGTCAGTTGCGGATGTGCATACGGCCTGTGGAAGCGGGCAGCTTGCCCTCACGCTCGCCCATTCTGCCTCACTCGCCCGCAGCGGCCAACTCACAGGATGAAGAACCAGGCGAGAATCGAGTTGGGCACGCGCTTGCCGCGCACGCGCGGGTCATCGTTGATGATGCCCGGCAGCCACCAGGCGAAGATGAGGGCGACCATGCCAAAGTCGCGCACGTAGATGGCCCATCGCGAGTGCACGGCCTTGCTGATCATGTGTCCAATGCCGCCCGTCTTGGGCACATCCACATCCAGGCCGTTCTCGCGCGCGTACAGCGCGGCGGCGGCGTCGGAGTCTGCCGACGTGGAGTCCGCCGGGTAGGCCTCGGCGTCGGCCTGCTGCTGCGGCTTGGCGGCGTACGACTCCTTTGCGTCGGATGCCGAGTGCGAGGAATGCACAGAGGCGATCTCCGACGGACGCATCACCTCGGCCTGCGGCGGAGCGCCGGCCTGGTTCTGTGAGGAGCGTGAGCACGCAGGCATGCGCGTCGAGAGCGAGAGAGCGGCCGCAAAGCACGCACGTTGTACAGCGGCAGGTCGGAGCGCGCCACCTCGGGGTTGGACATGGCCGACATTGCTGGGCAGGCTGTCGTCCGCGAGGGAAACGTGAGGTTGAGGATGGATGAGGTGGGAGGCAAGAAGGTGTGGCGACGTCGCGTGGGTCAGAAGAAGCGCTGCCTGCCTCGCGTCGCGCGCGCGGGGCAGCCGCAAGAGAAGAGATAGCGGCTCGCGGCCCGGCGCCGGCCCGCCTGCTCCTTGCCCTGGCGCAGCCCCTGAAGCCGCAAGACGAAGCGCTGCTATCGCGCTCTGCGCTGCTGCCGAGGCTGCCAGGCACGCACTAGGCCCCTCATCGGCGCCACGCACTCGGCTTCCGCCCTGTCCTGGGGCTTCCTGCCGGGCGGGGTCTGCCGCAGCGAGCGAGCCACGCGGTGCGGTCGCGTGCGGCGTCTCGCCACCTTTTCTTTGCCCTACTCGAGCGGCTGAGAAGAAGCGCCCGAGCGCCCGCACCGCAACCGTCTGCGGCTGCGGCGCAATGTCCATGGTGCCACGCTTGCCACGCTAAGAAGGCCGGGTGCGTCTCATGCATGCAAGTCCACGGCGCCGACGCCGCGAGGGACCCACACCGGGGCGCACGAGCAGTGTCAGAGCGAGCGGCGCCTCGGTGGCTCGGCGTCGCGCTCGGCACCGGCGCCGACGGCGCGCCGCATGCCGCCACGCCGCACGCGCGCGCGCGTCCATACGGGTGCGGGCAAAAAGGAGCGAGGGGGAGAGAGGGCAGCGCAGCAGGCAGCCGTGGCCGAGGCTTGGCAGAGAGGCGCCGCGGCAGCCGCAGCCGTGAGCCTCGAGCTCGTCCTCTCAACAGCCGCGCGTTGCCGAGCAGCAGCCAGCACAGGCGGCGGCAGGCGGCGGCAGCAGCCTATCGCAGCCTCTCGCGCTTTCGCTGCGGCTCCCTCGCCCTCTCGCTGCATGCTCGCGGCTGGCTCCTGCGCCTCGCTCTCACAGCACTCAGCCTGCCAGCGGCGGCGGCAGCAGCTGCGTCTGCGTGGCTTGCACGCTGCGCCTGCACGCTGCCACGCTGCCACCCCCGATGCTGCATCTGCATGGGCGCTGCAGCGAGCCAGCTTGTAGCGTGCGGCTCTCTCGTCTTGTGCCCCCATGGGTCTGCCAGGGGGTCCCCTGGCCAGAATTGCCCGCTCCTCATGCTCGCAGCCAGGCTGACTCAGCGCGCCAGCCTCGGCGATAGGCGCTCTGCAGCTGAGGCCCGCAGCCGCGGCTGGTGCTAGCAAAGGCGAAGGACAGCTGTCGCGGAGCGCAGAGCGGAGTCGACGTGCAGCGAGGCGAGGGAGAGGAAAGACGGCCGCCCGTGCCGCGGCGCGGCCGGCTTGCCCTCCGTGCTCGAGCCTTCCCACGCCTCTCTCCCTCTCGCGCGAGAGAAGTCTGGCGCGCCTCGAGATGCGAAGCGGCGAAAGGCCAAGTGCGAGCGCCACTTCTGAAGCAGGCAGCGCTTCTCTCCACTCCACTCCGCACCGCTCGCACCTCCAGACTCGACGGACCTCTGCGCTCGTCTCTCCCCTTTCTCTCCTCTCAGCACTGCACCGCGCTGCGTGCTTCGGACCGCCCGCTTCTCTTCCTCTCGCCGGCTACCCGAAGCGGGAGCGTCTCTCCGCCGTTTGCGCAACCATGCGTCTCCTTGTGCGCCGTCTCGGCGTCAGCGCCCTTGCGTTGTCTTGCACCGCATCCAGCGCGGCGCCGAGCACGGCCGCCGCCTCATGTGCCGCTTGCTGCGCCGCGTATGCCTCAATGTCGGCCGCTCCGTCCAGAGCGCGCACGGTGCGGAGAGGCTACAGCTCCCTCTCCACTGCCGACTCTTCGCCGTCGGCTGCATCTGCAGGCATAGAGGCAGAAGCGCAGAGCAGCGCAGCCTCGCGCTCGGCGTCTGGATCCGCGGCAAGCGACGATGCATCCTCTCAGCCTCTCTCTCCGGAAGCTCTCGAGGCGCAGAAGGCGCAGAGAGCCGCAGCCGCCAGGGAGAGGGAGCTGAACCGCAAAGACAACGTCGCCAGGAGAGCAGCGATTGACTCTGGCCTCGCAGATCGATTCGCCTTTGCTCGTCTCGCCACACCATCAGGCGCTGCTCCGCTAGAGCGACCGAGGCGCTTCGAGTCTGCAAGCATGGCAGCCGAGTCAGCTGAGGCATACGGACGTGCGCGAAGGCCGAGTCCTCAACGGGGCGGGGAGAGAGTGGTGTTGCTGCACAACGTCCCGCCTACTGCTACGCCCTCCGACATCTACCGACTGCTCCCGAGCTTCTCTCGTCACATTGCCTCAATCACTTTCTTCCGGCTGCCCGACGTGCAATTCGCGGGACGCGTGGCCGTCAGCTTCGCGAGGACGTCGACCAAGACTGGCAAGGAGGGCGAGGAGAGTGAGGAGGAGAGAGGGGAGAGGGAGAAGAGAGAAGAGGGCGCAATGAAGAAGGAAATCGTCAGAGCCAAGGAGTTTGCTGCTGCGGTGCGCAAGCTCAAGATAAGCGGCAGACAGTTGCGCGCGTCCATGGTGAGTGCCCGCCAGTCCGTGCACGAGGGACTGGAAGCTGCTCAGCCAGCGTGCCGCAGTGACGCCCCCTTTCTGCTCCTGCTGATCGCACGCCAAATCCCTAGACACAAGTCGTCGGTGCCCCGCATCCTTCACCTCAAACAGCCAGTCTCATCCAAGCCGAGTCTGGACGTCTGGTCTTGCTCAAGGGCTTGCCATTGGGCGTTCCGCCCTTGGCGTTCGCCTCCATTCTCGCATCGAGCTCCTTTCAGCTGCGCAAGGACATTCGCTTGCCTCGCGCTGCTGGCGTCAAGACGATGGGCGTACCGGTGGAGATGGAGGAGAGCGACGACGGCGAGATGAAACAGGGAGCGGTTGTTCATGTGCCCGAGTGAGTTGGCTCGCGCCAGCGGCCCCTCCCTTGCTTGCTTGCTCTCCTCTCACTCCGGCCCCTCCCTTGCTTGCTTGCTCTCCTCTCACTCCTATTGCCCTCACGCAAAGATACGCAAACGACCACTCGGGCCGCAAGTCGCTCCTCGTGCGCACGCACAGCAATGTAGACGCCCAACGTCTGGCGATGCACTGGAACAGACGAGTGTTTCGCTCGCACAAGGAGAGAGAGGAGGGCAGGGACATCCAGCTGGGAGAGGGACCTCGCTTTGTTGTTGACGCTGAGGTTGTCTACTGAGCCGCTCGATGCGGAGGAAGAAATGCAAGATACCCACCCTTATTTGCTTGATCCCCCCCCTCCTTCCTGTGTTGCGCTCGTATCGCTTTGCTTGCGCCTTTCTCACTCTCTCTCACTTACGGAGGCCGCACATGCTGCCTCGCAAGTAGACTTGTCGTCTGATCGGCCCGGAAGCGAGACTGAGCGCTTCGGATGGTCCGCTGCATGCCGCGACTAGGGCGAAACAGGCCGCATGGCGAGAGGCTCTAGGGTATCTAATTATCGATGACGATGCTCTGCTTGCGAGTAGCTATGCAGTCGATGCTCTATGTCTGGCCGATTCGACAGAAGAAGAGGAAGGGGGGCGCACGCCTCAAGCCTCCAGCCGCTTCCTGCCGCCCGCCCAGCCCTCTTCCTCCCTATACGCCTCCAGCGCCTTGACACACTCCTCCATGCCCTCCCAGATCGAGCGCATCGCATACAGATGCAGCTCATGCTCGCGCACATAGCGCAGTCCGCTTGATGCGCCCTTGATCGCCACATCTGCGGCGCGCTCACGTACGCCGAGCCGTTCGGCCGAGGCGGAGAGGAGCGAGAGGGAGGAGGAGAGCGCCGCGGGGAGTGGGGAACGCTTGAGTGCGCGAGCGAGCGAGGGAAGCGAGCCTTCGCTTGCTGCGGGCAGGTCGGCTGCGCGCACCAGGGCCGTTTCTTCTTCTGCAAGAGAGGACAGACCAAGTCGAGGACTCGTCGGCAGGCTGGTGGCTTTGCGACTTGCCGTCTTGCTCGACGTCGAGGAGGATGCCTGCTTCTTGCTCTCGACCTTGCCGCCGCCGCCGCCCGCAGTCTGAGTCGAGGCAGAGGCCATCTGCGCATACATCATGCCCGCCGCCGCGCGTGCCAGGGCGAGCGGACCCTCCCACTCCGAAGGCAGGCCTTTGCCTTTGATCTTCTTCTCCTCCTCTGCCGCGATCGTCGCTGCTTTCGAGTCGCTCTCCAGCAGCGCCAGCTGCCTGTCCGTAGCTGTGCGAGGGGAAGTCGGCGCCGAAGAAGAAGAGTGCGAGTCGCAGGCGCATGGCTTCCTGCGTGCAACGGCCGTCGAAGAGGAAGTGGAGACGTCGACGAGATTGGCGGCGCCTCGAGAAGCGAGTGAAATGGAAGCTGCAGTGATGGAGAGGAGCAGCTCGAACGCCGGCATGGCCAGTGCAGACGTGACGCGCGCGGCGGCAGACGCCGTAGCAGGCGCTGCTGTGGCCGTCGATGCGACTTCGAGAGAAGGAGACGGCGGTGCAGGCAGTTCCTTGAGCTGCGACGGCGAGGCGGCCGCAAGAGGAGGGTTGTGGTGGTACACATGATGAGCATGTACATGCTCATGCCGAGTCGCTCCGCGTGCCGCTGGCTGCGCATCCATGACGTCCGATCGACGCACCACCGCCGTCTCCGTCGGCTGCACTTTCCTCTCTGCCTCTCGCAGTGCCGCAAGCAACGCCTCGCGCTGTCGCGGCGGAAGCGACTTTGCGAGATCCGATGGAAGAGCGGAGAGGAGATGGGTGAGGGACGTGACGTAGAGATCGACGAGGTATTCGGCATCTTGCTCCTCCTCCTCTTCTTCCTGCTCTTCTGTCGTCGCCTCTGCCTCCGCGTCGGATGCTGTCTCCGCGGATGCCGCCGGCGCTGCTGATGCGACACTGGAGGCAGCGCCGAGGGAAGAAGAGGCAGAATCTAGCATGCCTACGTTGACGTCGTTGCTGCTTCGAGACGCCGGCAGCATGAGAGGCGAAGCGAGACCATGCGGCTGCTGAGGCGGCGGCGGCGCTTTGCGAGCATGCTCATAGCTCGGCGGCGGCGACGTGGCTCGCTCGTCGGCGCCCTCGGCAGGGCGATGCAAAGGCTCCTCGACGCCCAAGGCCTCGCCAATGTCGACGCCCGACGTCGGCAGTCTGGGCAGCGCGCGCCGCACCGTCGACGTGTAGCTGTTGAGCCAAGGCAGCGAGGGCCGCTTGGAAGGGAGAGAGAGGAAGCGTGTCCGTTTCGACTCTACTGCTGCCCCTTGACTTGCCGGCGTCGCCGCAGCAGCAGAGGGCGTGCTGGGCGTCGAGGGCGCGGCGGCAGCTGCGGCCACGCTGCGCCTGCGTTCTGCATTTGCCGCGGCGACTTTCTGCGCCTTGAGTGCAGAGGAGAGATCGGAGAGGGCGGCACTGGATGCTCGAAGACGCTGTGCGGAGAGCGTCGGAGTGCTGCTCCCGCTGTGGCTGCGCTCTACGCTGCTGCTGCCCGAGGCAAAGGCAGTGGCGGAGGAGGTAGAGGCGATCGGCGTAGAGGGGAAATGCAGCGCTGGCTGAGAGGTGCCGTTGGCGCGAGCAGCACTGCGCGAGCTGCTGCTGCTGCTGCTGCTGCTGCGAGGAGCGCTCTTGGGGCGAGAGGGCTCGTCGGCCCAGTCGATGCCCGAGACGGGCAGGCGAGCGGCCAGATCGTCGTCTGCGCCGAGCTCGGCCGCGCCGGCCAGAGCCGCCTTGCCGGCGCCTCGAGGCGTGGAGGGCGGAGCGGCGCTGCTGCTGCTGCTGCTGCTGCTGCTGCTGCTGCCTGCGCCGCCGAGACTCATGCTGGGCAGCACGGAGGCGAGAGGCGCGAGGAGCGAGGGCGGCATGGTGCAGCACGCTGGCGGTGTGCGAGGCCGAGGGGCCGAGGTGCGGCTTGCTTGCGGTGCGAGGGAGCGAGAGGGATGGAGGTGGAGAGAAGAGACGAGGCGGCGCCTCTCTCGCTCGGCGGCCCCTCGACTCTCTCACCCGGCTCCTGGACGCCCCCCGACGCCGGTGCCGACGGCGGCACGGCTGCTCTCCTGACGTCGCTTGCGCGAGGAGACGCTTCCGGCGGCGCTCCCGCTCCCAACAAATCCCTCGTGGGCGCCGGCGGCAGCTGATTAAGGCACGCCTCGTCCCGCCCTGCGTGGAACGCATGCCAACCCCACTTTGCGCGTTGCAGCCGAGCGCACCCGCCGTCAGCACGCAGCGTCGCCCGCAGCAGGCTCGCTTTCTCTCAAACCTCCACAGCTCGCGATTCTCGGAGCCGGCGCCCCCTCCGTGCCCTCGCGCTCGGCGTGTTCAGCCAACATCCGCCGCCGCGGCACGCTTAATTTCCGCGCACGCCGCGCGCTGTTTGTCGCTTGATCGCGGCGCGCGTGAGAGCCGCTGAATGGACGTGGGAGCGGCAGCGTGGGAGCGTACACGTGATGCGGCCAGATGGGCTGTGCCGTGCGGGAGAAAAGTGCGCGGTGCGCCGCCGAGGGCGAGAGAGAGCTGGCTTGCCTTCGCTCACTCTCACTGCACTCACCTCCACGTTGTTGCCCGTCGTCCATCTCGCCCTTGCTGCACCTCGCAGCCGCACAGCTTCTCGTCGGCACAGCACAGCACGTCACAGCGCAGCGACTGCTTCTTGCGCTTCTCGCGCAGCCTTCTCTCGGCAGCAGCGACCGACGCTCCAAGGGTACGCGCCTGCCTCATCTCTTTCTCTCGCGGCACTCCGTTCTTCACCTCTGCCTCGCACCTCAGACCGCCGGCACACGATGGAGTACGTGCCGCTCTCCTCGCTGCCCGTGCCCTCGGCACCTCGCCCGCGCGCCTCTCGTTCCGCAGACGCCACGTATTTCCGGCGCTTCACGCAGAGCACCTTCGTGCGCGAGTATGCGCCGGTGCACAGCATCGCCTTTGTGCCCGCTTCCTCCTCCTCTTCCTCCGACGGAGCAAGCACCTCGACGGCAAGCACGCATCGTCTCGCCGTCTCCGCCGGCGCGCGCGTGCAGATCTACAATGCAAAGAGCCGAAAGGTCGTCAAGACGATCAGCCGCTTTGGAGATGTGGCGCGAGGCGCGGGGTGGCGAAACGACGGACGCTTACTCGTGGCGGGCGATGACTCGGGCACGGTGCAGGTGAGGCTTCGCGATGGGCAAGCCCAACGGCAGAGATGCAGAGCTGATGTGCATCATGGCCCGCAGGTGTTCGACATTAGTTCACGCGCCATTCTGCGCACGCTCAAGGGCCACAAGCTGTGCGTGTCGCTCCGCAGCATTGCTCATTCACCACACGACGCTCACCCAATCCCTCTCCCAGGCCAGTGCACATCTCTCGCTTCTCCTCCGACCCTTCTCAGATCCTCACTGCCTCCGACGACACGACGCTCCGTCTGTGGGACCTGCCCACCGAGACTTCCCTCTCCGTCTATTCCGGGCACGGCGACTACGTCCGTTCCGCCCTCGTCTCTCCCGACAATGCCTCGCTAGTGCTTTCTGGCTCGTACGACGGCACGGTGCGTCTGTGGGACACGCGTCTCGACACGAGAGAGGCAAACGTGATGACGATGCGGCATGGCGCACCCGTCGAGGATGCGCTGATCTACCCGACTGGCGGGGGAGGTATTGCGGTCTCCGCAGGAGGTCCGACGCTGCGAGTGTGGGATCTCATGATGGGCGGTCGCTGTCTGCGCGCCACATCCAACCACGCAAAGACGATCACTTCGCTCGCCATCTCCACGTCGGACGCCGAAGGCAGCGGCGGCCACGCGCTGCGCCTGCTGAGCGCCGGCCTGGACGGCCTTGTGAAGGTGTACGATCCGGCGCGAGACTACGTCGTGACGCATACGATGCGCTATCCGTCTCCTCTGCTCTCCATCGCCCTCTCGGCAGACGAACAGCACATTGCCACCGGCGGCGCCGACGGCACGCTCTGCATTCGCACGCGTGCGCTGCGCGCCAACGAGGCGGCCGCACGCGCCGAGGCAACCAAGGCAAAGGAACAGGGCACGCAGCAACTCTTCATGGCTGCCGCCTCTGCCGACTCCGGCGGCGCAGCAGCGACGCTTCAAGAAGCGGCAACCGTGCGCACGAAACGGCTGTCACCCTTCGACTCGGCGCTCAAATCCTTCCGCTACGCCGATGCCTTGGACGCGGCACTGCGCGCGGGCACGAACAAGCATGCGACATTTGCGCTGCTGACGGAGCTGTCGAGACGCAGCTCGGCAGACGGCAAGGAGGATGCCTTGCGCCGAGCGGTGGCAGGCCGAGATGAGGGCGCCTTGGAGCCGTTGCTGCGCTTCTTGCTGCGCCACGCGGGCAATCCGGAGCACAACGCCGTCGTGTGCAAAGTCGCAGACGTGGTCATTGGTGAGTCGCCCCCCCCTCGCCCGTCTCTCTCCTATGGCTGACATTTTGCTGCCCCGATGCCACAGACACGTACGCCTCGATCCTGGGCCAGTCGCCCTTGATCGACGATCTCTTTGGCCGCCTTTGGGCCAAGGTCACCGACGAGGTGCGCCTGCATCGCGAGGTGGAGAAAGTGCGAGGCGCGCTCGAGATGCTGGTGGTGCGCGGCACGGGCGTTTGAAAACCAAGGAAGCGAGGGGGGGGGGGGCTCAAGGCAGCCCTACTGCGGGAGGAGGGGAAGGGGAAGAGAGTGGATGGAGGAGAGGCAGACGATTGGATGTCATTTGTATTGAAGCACACCTTTGATTGGGAGCTGAGACGGGCCGAAAAAAGGAGAGAGAGAAGAGACGCAGGGGAGGCCTTGAGAGAGACATGTGCGTCAAGACGCGAGCGCACTTGACCCGCCCCCCCCCCCCCCCCCCCCCCCCCCCCCCCCCCCCCCCCCCCCCCCCCCCCCCCCCCCCCCCCCCCCCCCCCCCCCCCCCCCCCCCCCGCGCCTCGCCCTTCGCCCCACACTGGGGTCTGGACAGGGCTGCTGGGAGGGCGCCCACTCAAGCGCATCACAGACGAGTGTGTGTGTATGGGGGGGGGGAGGGCTTGTTGTGAACTGTGCGGCGGCTTGGCCGGCACAGGTCCGTAGCGTACGCGTGCCCGCCGGATGTGAGGCGGGGACACAGCACCAGAGCCCTGCTGTGCTGGCTGCGCGGCTGCTGGCTAACTCGGCCTTTTTTTCGCAGTCTGTAGGAGGATCTGGTCTAGACACGCCCCGGCTTCAACGCGAGTCACTTGTGTGTTGCGAGGCGCCACGCAAGGAAGAGGAGGACAAAGCCATTTCCTCCCCCCCCCTCTCTCTCTCTTTCACTCTCTCTCTCTCGAGAGTCGAGAGGCGATCTGCCATGCCGAGAATGATGACGCGAGTTGAGCTTCTGAGCTCTGGCCACTGTGTCAGATGCCGGAACGGCATCCTCTGGCTCGGAAACTCGCCAGAGGACTCGACCTGGCGTGTTCACGCATGCACGCAAAGCTGCGCATCAGAATCTTCATATCATTGTGCTCCCTTTTTCCCCTCCCGTCTTCTCCCTCCCCCTTCACTGCTTCCCTCCGCTTTAACCCTCCTAAACGACTCGGCACGCCTGACCCTACCCTGCGCCCTGCCATATTTCAAGCAGTGCGCAGAATCAAATGCAGCCCACTCTCGGTGCTCACCACGTCGCTCATCTCGCCGACGTGCAGCGCATACGTGGCCTCCTCAAAGGGACGCTGCATCTGCCCGCGTGCGAAATAGCCCAGATCGCCGCCGGAACGCGCAGAGGAGCAGTCGCTGAGGGTGGGAGGGGGGGGTGAAGGGGTTGCGGAAGAGAGATAGAAGGAAGGGAGGTAGGATGGGGGTCAGCGGTTAGGGTTTCGAGAGGAGGGGAGTGCGAGAAGCAAGCTGCAGGGCTTTCGACGAGAACCCATCTTCGTCGTCTCTCTCTGTTGTGTCTCTCTCTTTCTCTCTCTCTCGAGGCGCGCAAGGAGAAGGAGCAGGGGGCAAAGGAGGGCCACAGGCAAGAAACAGACAAGAAGACTCACGAATGCACGCTGGCCAGTTTGGCAAAGTCGTCGGCCGAGACGTCGACATTGGGTGCGGACGCGGATCCTCCGGAGAGCAGCGCACGCTGATGCTCGCGCAGGATTTGCTCGGCCTCGGCACGAGTGCGCGTGATGCTTGCCTGTTGATGGTTTTTTTGCGAGTTGGGCGAGTTGGCAAGAGAAAAGAGAGAGTGGGGAAGCGTTTAGTGCAAGAAGAGGAGGGTTTGAAAGGGAGAAGGAAGAGTGAGGCAAACGTCAGCCTGAGTGTAACTTCGGGAAAAAGGGAAGGCGTTGGAAGGATGGGAGGCCAGCAAAGGCGGAACCCCCCCCCCCCCCCCCCCCCCCCCCCGGGGGGGGGGGGGGGGGGGGGGGGGGGGGGGGGGGGGGGGCTTTGCGTCCTCCTCCTCTCTCTCTCCCCTAAGGCGCCCTCTTCCACTCCAAGAGATGGCCCTTCTCGTGTAACCCCCCCCCCCCCCCCCGTCGTGACCGTGCGGCGACCATGCCATGCGCGCGGGCCAGACTGGTCCTGTCCTACCATACTCTCCCCTCCGCCTCAAGCACGCCACAAACACATCGATCAGAAACTCACCTCTTTCCAGCTACTGGCCCTTCTGCTCTCCCGATGCTTCACCAACAAATGACTTGCGCGCACCTTGCCCTGTTGCTCCTTCTTGGCCGCACCCGCGCCCGCCTGGAGCAGTTGGGCGCCGGGCAGTGCCCCGATGTCGGCCTGGCTCAGCTCGGCGGGCGCCTCCCAGACGCTCTGCTGCGTGGCGGCGTTGTAGAAGTAGGGCAGGGCGCGCGAGTTGGAATAGCGAATCTGCCACTGTTGTTGCGACATGGCGGCGAGGGGAGGGTGGTGGTGGAGGGAGGAGGGGCGCACGACGGCGCACGTGCCACCCTGCAAGCGCGCGCGCGATCAACACTCAGAGGAGATTGTATTGGGCGCACGGGGGCAAGCTGTAGTCGCCTGCAAGCGCGGTGGTTGTATTCGCCAATAGAATGCGCGCTGCTCGCTGCTTCTGGCGCTGCCTCGCTTCGCAGGCGCCTTCAACTTCCTTGCTTGCCCTCCTCGACCTTTGCGCCGATCTCCCACCACACACACGCACACATCTCTCTCTCTCTCTCCTCTCAACGCTCTCGCCGCTCTCGACACCGCAGCTTGCGGGGGGAGACGAGCAAAAAGCGGCACGCCAGCCATGCGTCTTTCGCCTCTTCGCCTGGCCCGCCGGCTCGGCATCGCCGTCGCCGTCGCCAGCGTGCTGCCGCTGGCACACGCCTATGCCGAAGTGTTGCATCTCAGGCCTCTGGCCGATGGGCGCTTGAGCGCAGCGTTCACTTTCGACCTCGCCGACGCCTCTCCCTCCTCCTCCTCCTCCTCCTCCTCCTCCTCCTCCTCGCCCTCGCCCGGCTCCTCCTCCTCCTCCTCCTCGGAGCATTTCAGCATCCTGCCGCGCCCCCTACTGCACGCGGCCAGCGCGGGCAATGTGCACGAGGTGGCGCTGAGTCTGGCGCGCGGCGAGTGGGAGTATGCGCGCTGGGGCATGCCGTTTGCAGGCGGCGGCGGCGGCGGCAGAGAAGAGGGCAGAGGGCGAGGCAGCGGCGGTGAGGGCAAGGGAGCGGGCGCGGGCGCGGAACTGTGGGCCGTGCTGAGGGATCAAAGGTGAGTCTCTTTTG